CTTAACTATGCCAAAGAATTAATCCATAACCACATGCTGACAATTTCATTTACTTGTTTGTAAAATCCTCCACTAACATCAAATCCTCATCTCCTGTTTTAGCTGAGCATCCATAATATTTAATACCAGAAATTCCATCTTCCATGCAGTATAATTTTCTTTTCTTTTTGTGTGTGTGTGTGTGTGTGTGTTTTTTGTGATTTTTTCTTTTCCCACTGGTGTGGGTATGTATTGTTTAAGAATATTATTATTATTATCAATATCTTTAAATAATAATTACAGTCAAATGAAAATGGATATATGACGATGGTGATATGTATGAATATCTGAGTTAAAACGCTTGAGTTAACATGAGTTATGTTTGCTGACTGTGGAGGACATGTACCAAAGTTTATTTGTGACCGACTGATACACTTTCTATAGCATGTAAAGAAAGATGTTATACTTGTTTCAAATTAAAAATTAAAAAATTTTAATAAAAAAAAAAAAAGAGAGAGACACTAAATGCAGCCATGTTGCCCAGAGGCCAAAAATCCACTCACCTGGCCTCGGAGGCAGCCCAATTTACATCAAGACATCCGTCAGGAGGTTCTCGACTTACGACCGTAAGAGAGCCTGTGGTTACGTTGGTGTATTTGTAAGTTGAGAAGGGTTATAAAATAGCTCAGTTCATGTAACCGACCTTATTTTTACAACCTGTTTTTTGGGGAGGTGGCAGAAACCCTGCCGTTGTAAAACAAGCTGGTCGTTAAGCGAGCCAACGGACGTGAGTGCCGGGTTTGGTCACGTGACCCTGGGATCCCACAATCAATTGTAAGGGGTTTTGCTGAGTGGCCAAATTTTGACCACATGACTCGGGAAAAGGCGCTGAGCATTGGAACTTTGGAAGCCGGTCATAACTTGGTCCATCCAAGCTGGTCGTAAGTCGAGGGCCACTTCTACGCCATCGTGATGGAAGCCACCGGACAAACAAAGGATTTGAATACATGGAAAGTGGGGGGCGGGGCGGGGGGGGGCTTCACTGTCACACGCCCCCCAGTTTAAATTCCCGCTTCTCCTTTCTCAGGTGAAGATTGACGAGGTGGACGAGAAGTGGTCCGGATCGGTCCACGTGGGCTTGACCACGCTGCTGCCCTCGGATGCCTCCTCCATGGCCACGGGGCTGCCCTCTTCTCTCCTGGAGCTGCGTTCCAAGGTGACCTGGCTAGTGACGGGATCGGAGGTCCGGCGTAACGGCGTCCTGCAGAAGCAGAATTACGGCTGCTCTCTGGAGCGTCTCGCGGTGAGTCGGAGGGGGGGGGGTCTGCAGGGCAAGGCTGGGTGAAGGTCAACCAGAGAGAAGTCCTATTAGAGCAGGGGGGGGGTCTCCAACCTTGACAACTAGAAGACCTGTGGACTTCAATTCCCAGAATTCCCCCTGCTGAACAGAACTCCGCATTGGCGACGGGGAAAGGCATCCGGCCACTCTAAGCTCCATTCAGTTGCCCAGACTCCACCCCCGCGAGGGATTATGGGCTCGTTAAATGAAGATGATGATTTTAATTACCCAACTAGGGAGTGGTGCGGTGGCCTAGAGGGGGAGCTCTCGCCTCACCATCAGGAGGCTGCGAGTTCAATCCTAGGTAGAGGCAGATATTTCTCTATCTGGACACGATGAGAATGTATCTGCTGAATATAAGAGCCGAGGTGGCGCAGTGGTTAGGGTGCAGTACTGCAGGCCACTTCAGCTGACTGTTATCTGCAGTTCANACTGATACACTTTCTATAGCATGTAAAGAAGGATGTTGTACTTGTTTTAAATTAAAAATTAAAAAATTTAATAATAATAAAAAAAGAACTGTGGAAGTCTTTCCTATTGGTTATGGTGTGCCTGCTGGCCGGTGGGAAAAACACAACCTACTGATTGGTTACCCATCTGACAGCTATGGTATAAATAATTACCACTATCAATTATGCCTCTGTAAAAAAGTGGCCAGGACAGAAGGAGAAAGATGTGCTCTCCTCATCCAATGCAGGAAATGCAGGTGCTAGTTTTCATGCTTCACTAAGGATGATGTGTGGAGAGACCAAATCAGATTGTTAGTTATCTGCAAATACTTAATACTGTTGACCACCTCTACAACTACATCCTTGATACTGAGTGGAGTAGGACTATATGGGCCATTTCTAAAATATATAATGATCTCCTTTGTTTTATCAATATTTAGAATCAGGTTACCTAGTATCAGCAGTCCATTAGAGCCTGATTTACCAATTCCCTATAAGCATATTCATTGTCATCCCGGATAAGACCCACCACTGCTGTGTCATCCACATACTTCACAATATGATTCATAGCAGATTTGGCACAGCAGTCATGGATCATCAAGTGAATAGTAGCAGGCTCAAGATACAGCCCTGTGGTAGCCTGTACTCAAGGGGATGGAGTTGGAGACTTTTCTTCCAATTTGCACAAACTGGAGCCTATCAATAAGAAAATCAAGAATCCAATTACATAAAGGGGTATTAAAACCTAATAGGCCCAGTTTGTTCACCAAATCCTGAGGAATTATTGTGTTGAATGCTGAACTAAAATAAAAAAACAGCATTTGTGTATGAGTATTCATCTCCTTCAGATGCACCAAGCTAAGATGAAGCACACAGGAAAGTGCTTCATCTATAGAGTGGTTCTTCCGATAGGCAAACTAAAATGAGTTGAATGTAGGGGGAAGGCATGAAACGATATAGTAGTCCTTTGCCAATCTCTCAAAACACTTCATCATAATAGAAGTGAGTGCAACTAGACAGTAATCATTGAGGCATATGAACACTCCTTAAGTACTCACCCAGAGATATTATCAGGCCCCTGAGCTTTTCAACTATCAACTTTCTGCAGGACGTTCTGAACAGCAGTTGTATCAAACCTGAGTACTTGCTCATCAAGGAGGGGGAACAGTCTTCCTTGCTGGAATGTTGTTTGTGGCATCAAACCATTCAAAAAACATATTTAGCATGTTTAGAGAGTCTGTGTCATCCTTACATGTCAGGGAAGCTGACTTATAGTCAGTAATAACCCAAATACATTGCCACTCGGATCCATAGGATCTTGAAATAAATTCTGTACTTTCTGAATATAGGCCCACTTTGGTGTTTTTATAGCACATCTCAAATCAGCTCTTGCTATTCTAAGTGCTGCCATATTGCCTCATTTGAAAGTGGTGTTTCTCACCTTCAACATTGCATAGACCTCCTAAAACATTCAAGGTTTCTCATTTGCTTATATAACAATAGTCTTAAGAACACTGACATCCTCCATACACTTTTGAATATAAGCAGACACAGTAGAAGCAGTATGCATTCACATCAGTATATTGTCCATTTGTTGCAGCCTCTTTAAATATTTTCCAATTTGTGCACCCAAAGCAGTCTTGTAGAACTTCCATAGTTCTTGACAGCCACACTTTCACTTTTTTTCTAATTACCGTAATCTTTCTCTAATTAACAAAGTCAAATATGCTGGCATAAGCATCAGGGAGAGATGATCTGAGGAGCCACAAGGAGGGTAAGGGTTAGCCTTAAATAATTGTTAAATTGATGTTAGAGTAAGCTAAATCCAGTGTATTCCTACCTCTTGCAGCAAAGTCTACATATTGATGGAAAATAGGGAGGGCTGTTTTCAAGAAAATACTGTTTCTGGATAACGCTCCACAAGGGAAAATCTATGGGTTTCCCAGCTGGGTTTGTATCTTTGTTAAAACACCTAGACCACAGTAGGAGATGCTTAATAAATGGATTTTTGGGAGAAGACCTAGCAAACTGAAGATATCTTTGCAAAAGTAGATCTCATAAGTATGGCAAAACCCAAAGAAGCAGTGAGTAGCTCTCCAAGGTGAGTAGACCCGGAATCTCTCCAAATAGATGGGAGGATGGGAAATTGCCCATATGTGTTCCCAACAGCTGTTCCTTATGACAGCAGTCATGTATATACAGGGTTAGAATGCTAGAAAATGAAGGGATTAACCAATAATTGCACTGATTTTTAAAAGACACTGTAGTGGCATCCCTGGATGCCAGCTTAGACAACGAGGAAGAGATAAGTCTGGAGACTTTGGGATGGGGTGTGCAGGAGTGCTGGGAAGTCGATGAGGGCTCTAAGCCAGGATTAGAGAGGCCAGGCACAGTGGAAAGGTCGCTGGAGGGGCAACTGGATGAATGGCCAGCTGAAGAAGGAAAAAGAAAGGTGCTGCTGTAGCTGAAAAGCTCAGAAGCCCACTGGAAGTGCAGGATGAAAAAAATATGCAGCTGCCACTGGCCAATAGGGATGAGGATTAATTGTCTCCTCCACCTAATTCACGGGTGCATAGAGTTAAGTGGAGTCAGGCATAATTGGTGAGGCTACACATGAGGCAGCAATCTTACCCTTCCCATGAGCTACACCTGTGAGTATCTATTTAATCAGATGGAGTTGGAGGTTATTGGCAACAACCTCCCGTTCTCCTGCCATATACATATTTTGCTTTCGTGATATTGGTTTTTTTTTTGCCCAGATTGTGTTATGATGGACTGTGGATTTGGACCTTGGACTTACTCGTGGATTTTGGACTTCTTTGCCTTGGACCCCTGATTGGGCTTGGGCTGTGGACTCTGTGGACTTTGCCTTTACCTTTGTCCTTGGACTTGATAACTTTATTCCCTGGCAGTCTTGGACTTCATAGGACTGCCAGTGGGTGTCTTGTGAATTCATATTAGGGGCTTGGACTTTCAATAAAGCTTTTAAAGCCTTTGTTCATGTCATGCATGTGACCCGAATAATGATGTACACTAAAATCACCAGCCTTTCCAATCACTTTTGAAATTGCCTATTAGAGATTTTCAGAATTAAAACTTTGAAAAATTGCTGAGTAAATTTAACTTCACCTCTGAGCAAAATAAAAACTAATTACAGGCTTAAGACTTAAAAAATGAAACAGCAAAAATCTAAGATTTTGATCTTAAAAGTTATAAACAGTTTAAGAATCCAGTTACATTTGGAATAGTTTAAGATTTTGGAATTAACTATTAATGATAAATAATTTCTTATGGAAACCATAATTATTTTGGCTATTTTAGTTCATAAAAAGACAAATGACTTTATGATTTAAAAATTGGACACTAAGAAGACTAAAGATTCTAAGTAGGAGGGGAAAATACAAGCCAATTTGGCATCAATGTTAAAAGGAGAAACAACACAAGAAGCTTGGGAAACTCTGAAAAATAAGATTTAAAAGCTCAGTCCAATACAATACCACTGATAAAGAAAAATAAGAGATTCAAGAAGAAACCAGCATAGGTATATAAAGAACTCTCTGATATACTGAAAGACAAAAAGGAGAAGTATAAAAAATAGAAACAGGGAAACATAACTAAGGCAGAATACCAGCATAAAGCCCGAAATGACAAAGATGAAGTCAGAAAAGCAAAGGCTCAGAATAAACTAGGTCTTTCAACAAATGTCAAAAATAATTAAAAAGTTTTTTTCAACATTTAAAACAACAACAAATTCAAGGAAACGATCAATCCATTAATGGGAAAAGATGGCAAGGAAGTATGGGCAGCAGGGAGAAAGCAAATCTGCTTAATTCATTCTTTGCAACTGTCTTCACATTAAAAGAATAAGCAGTTCAACCTACCAAAAGTAGAACCATAGAAAACAGACTATGGATACATATCAAAATAGGCAAGAAAGTGGTAACACTTGTCTTCCCTGGATGAATTCAAATGATTGGGATGGATTATACCCCAAAACTCTGAATGAGATGGCAGATGTGATCTCAGAACCACTGAAAAATATGTTAGGCAAGAAAAATCAAATGCAAATATAGAATAGGTGGTACCTGGTTCAAAAGCAGTTACTGTCAGAGGGATCTTAAGTATGAGCCAGTAGTATATTGCAGCTGCCAAAAAAACCCAGTGCAATCCTAGGCTGCATCAACAGAGGAACAGTGTCAAGATAACGTGAAATATTAGTACCACTATATATTGGCTTGATAAGACCACACTTGAAATAATACAACCAGTTCTGGTCACCATGACACAATAGAGAATCTCTACAATGTAGAGTCTTGAAAGAGTGCAGAAAACAGCAAGTTTGAGACCCTAGAACAGGGGTCTCCAAACTTGGCAACTTTAAGCCTTATGGACTTCAATTCAATGCAGGCTAGGGAATTCTGGGAGTTGAAGTCCAGAAGTCTTAAAGTTGCCAAGTTTGAGACTGGAGTCTAAAACATAGGATGAACAGTGCAGGAGCTGAGTATGTCTAGTTTAACAAATAAATGGGTGACATGATAGTAGTCTTTCAATATTTGAGAGGCTGTCACAAAGAAGAGTGGGACAACCTATTCTCCAAAGCACCTGAGGGCAATACAAGAAGTAATAGATGGAAACTGATCAAAGAGAGATCCAACCTAGAACTAAGGACATTTTTTAATCATTGGAACTGCTTGCCTTCAGAAGTTGTGGCTGTTTCAGCCTGGGAGAATTTTAAGAAGAAATTGGACTACTGCTTTTCTCATTACAGTCTTATTGTAGAAAACCCATTAAGAATTTCAAAAAATGGAAAGTAGTTGAGACACAGTGAGAGGACATATTCCTAAAGTATATATGTGTCCGTCCGTCCCCCATGCTTCTTTTCTATTTAAAAATACCTAGAGTCCTATTCCATTCCATAAATGAAAGTTAGAAGTTTGGGGATGGGAAGTGGGAGAGAGATGTTTCATTGAGTACATTGAAACAAGGTGTTTGTGATAACAGAATCAGAGAAATGCAACCAAGCTCACTTCAGACCAAACTAATACAAAATGAGTTTAAAATTCAATTATCTCATCCCAAGAATGCTAGTTTTCTAATTTATTTCAAAAACCAATTTTCTCAAATAACCACATCTAATCAATTTTATAATCTTTTAAAGATAATTTTTGCAATGCTTGAATTTCTGTATTTTTATAAAAACAGTATTTGAAGAGGATGTTTTAGATGATATTGGTCTAGATAGGTCTTGGAATGCCATGAAGCTACATTGAGTTCAAAATGAGTTTGGAAAGCTAACTTTTTGAAAACTAGCAAAGCGTTTCAACTGTAATAAAAACCAGAACCTCCTGGAGTTCTCCAGAACTTCCCGATCTTGAAACATTGATTTTTACACATCCTCATTTAGAAGTAATACTGAAGCTATTCTTCCAATTATTAAACTATTTCCTTGTTTTTTTAAACAAGTATGATTAATATAAAAATAAAATCCCCACAAACTCTTCCTGTCTTTTCTTTCATTTTTTGCTGGTCAGAGTCATTTACCATTACTCTATTCTCTTTTTTTAAATAGACTTCTCCCTTTTTTTCTGTTCTAGTCAAATTAGGTGAATGTTTATGCTTTTGTTGTTTTCCCTTTTTAATCCTATGCTTTTATATTTTTGTCTCTTAGTACTTGTGTTAATGTTGCTTTACACTATGGCAATGCTTATTTCTCCTAGAGTGATACTCTATGAAAGCAAAATATGACTTTAAAAGCACTGACTTGATGTCAGCTTCTGCTTTGCTGCTGCTTCAGCTGCCATGAAACGGGAAGGGGGGGGGCGTGTATG